GAAATGTCTCTTTTGTTACGTTGCTTTTGAGTCAGATTGTGTGACAGGGAATATTTAATACTGATTGCAAAAAAATAAAAACACCTCTTAAAAAAATTCTATTTAATGTTTAAATTATTCAACAGCTTAATTCCATTGACGTAATTTTATTAGCGTCCTATAAATTTGCATTGAAATTCTCACGAAGACACGCATATAATATTGCAGTTAAGTTGTTCATTCTCTTCTTTGAGTCACGCAACGTCAACAAGAATTGTGAATTTTTAGGTTTGAGAAGCCAGTTAGAGAAGTCATAGGACATCGATGTGGCTCTAACACGCCTTTTTAGAGATTGTACTTTATTCATCATGTTTCTAATAAATTTTGCTTCGTCAGGTAGCAATGAACCCAATTTATTCATCTTTTATGCTTTAACATACATCCAAAAATACTTTAGAAAATTCTTTATGCGTGATGCCTTATAATATTTTTTTGCATTTACGCAGCATAATAGAAACGCTTTACCTGCTGCTTTAATATTTAAATTTTAAAAATTGTTTGTGTGGGAGAATAAATTAGTTTTTTCTTCTAGCAGCTGAAAAGCTGTTTTGTAAATTTCCAATTGACTATATTTACAATGTATGGATCTCTGCAAAGTAAGAAATTTCATTATAATTTTGCTATTGTCCAACCGAATAGTTTTTGATATATTATAGAGTTAAACTTTCACTAGTTGACAGAGGTCATTTTACTAAAATATGCTGTCAAGTAGCAATGTAAACTATTTGTTACAAAGAATTCGTTGCTAAGTCCTTTTCTGTGGACATTTAAATGTCACTCAATCTATTGACTTCTCTTCAAACCATGCAATCACAGATCTGATGTAGAAAAATAACTGAACAACAAACACACTAAGAACTCTATTTGAAAAATAAGGCCAAAACTCCTTTGTTAAAGATTGACTGTTTTTTTGGTTTCGCGTTCATACTTTGCCAGCAAAGTAAGAGATACTTCAAAGAGTGACTTGTAAGCTTTGTAAAGGGGGCCTAAAATTTAGACCTAGCAGAACAATGGTCAAGCTAGTAACGGTGGATCAAATTGCTTTTACAAGTTCACATAAAATTTCGGAATTCGTGGTTTAAAATGGCATATATATTATGGATACTCGTATATAGATATAAATGTAATACAATCTTATGTTAGACAGCTAGTTCATACGTATTTTGGGCAACATAAAATTTTGTGTGCATTTGGACTGTTCTTAAATTCAAATGTGGGCTTTGTGCTGCTTGTCCAATCAACCATAAAACTTTTTTCTAATCACATACATATTGTCTTGATAAACAAGTACGTCCTTTCACACAACAAAAAAGCCCTATAATGGTGCACTAACTCTCACACCAATATATGGCATCTCTTCCTTTTTTTTGTCAAAATGATCATGATTAATGTTTTATGATTTCATGAATAACTAGGTTTAGGGTTTGTGCTCGAGAATGGTATGAGAAAAGTGACGGGTTTAAATATCCCTAAAACCAACTACTGGGAAACATTTCTTGGATGGGAAATGTTTAAGTCAGTTTGGAAATCAAGAGTTGTCGATATTACAAAGGAAATGCGAAACGGACTGGAGGCACAAAATGTTCCCTTGGTTACCCGATGGAAAGAAATGTTTGCGTTTACTTGATTTATTTCAAGCTGAGAGAGCATTAGTCGTGTACTTTGGCAGTTGTAGTTGCCCAGTGTTTATGAATAAACTGAAAGAATTTGGTGTTCTAGCTCAAGACTTTTCAGATATCGTGGATTTTGTCGTTGTATATATTGAAGAAGCTCATCCAATTGATGGATGGTCTTTCAAGGTAAATTCTTCTATTTCTTCAACATAATTTTGAATTGATGAAAAGCGTAGAGTTATATTATAGCTACGTTATTCATTATGAAGAATAGTTTTCCAGTATAACATGAAAGAGAAATTAAACGGCTACAGCAATTTCGTGATTTATAAAACATTCTTTGTATAACCATAATAATAATAACGAAGCATATAAATTTCATCAGGTAAAAATCTTTTGCAAACACTCATAACATTTTAGTAGGCTATATAGCCAGACAATATGTTCTGCTGACATAATAATAGCTTTTTTATCTTACTGATAAAATGGGACCTTTTCAAAGGCAGAAATAGTGAACTTCTGTTGAACTATACTTTCATTAGGCAAAAAACAAAGATGTTGTTTGAAAAAGAATCGTCCCTTTCATTATTTGACAATCTTTTGTGTAGAGAAAAACATGTCTTACGATTTCTTGATAAAGTCATGAAGGAAGCCAATTTCACTTCCTTTTAGAATAACTTTATCAAAGTACGAAAGCATCGAAATCAATATGAAAGATGGAAAGCCGCGCAAAAGCTACAAGAACTCAATCTTCCATGTCAAATAATGGTAGATACAATGGACGGCAATGGAAATGTGGCCTATGGGGCGTTGCCTGAGAGACTCTACGCCATTGAAGAAGGTAAAGTCGCATACGTGGGCGGACAGGGACCAATGAATTCATCAATGAAAGCAGCACGTGACTGGCTAGAGTCATATCGCGAGAAAAACACATTTAGAAGATGGACAATCTAACCCAGCGAGCAAGAACTGTACAGAATGCAAACTTCGTATAATGACATTTTGACATATTTTGGCCCTGAGGTTGAGACTTTTGTTTCTTTATCCCAAAATATTTTTTAAGCGAGTGACAATGCCCTAATGTATGATAATGTACAGATATGGAAAAACATATTTCAAAAGTGAGATTTTTACAAGGATGCGTCGACAAAGGAACTTTGAAGACATATACACATGCATATTTTTCTTGTAACTTACAAAAGCTTAAAAATACAAGACAATGTAGGTTTCTATGCTTTTAGTATATCTAAACGTGGATCATGAATTCAATTGAAATGAATCGACTGTTAGGAGCAACCAAAGTAGAACATGCATATATATTTGAGATCACTGGGGAGTTTTGGTCAAAACAGGCAACCGAGACAATTGAAATCTATCGCAAATACCAGTTTTTGCATGTCAATACTTGGGCATCATATAAGGTTAATGGCAAAAGTTTTAAGTCGTAGGATAGACATGCAGACCTGCCAATTTTAAATCAAAAAGAACCGCTGGTTTTGTTTGTAAACAGTTTAGGTGAAGAAAATGTTGAGATTGTCCCCTCATTTTTCATATGCTTAACGCTCTCTTTAGAAGAATTTATAGGTGATGACTTTTTCTCCTTTGTACCAACGCATGAAAATGTGGAAATTTTCCCTTCATTTTTCAAAGGTCCAAAGTTCTCTTTGGAAGAATTTATAGGTGATGACTTTTTCTCCTTTGTACCAACAACAGGGGTGCATTTGTAGTCGGATGACCCTTTGTAAAACAAATGTGTATCAAAAATTTGTTATTATAAGCAGTCTTTAGAAGAAAAACTAATAAGAATAACACGAAAGACAAGCTCCGAGCAAATGCAATTACGTATGTATCAAACTGTTATGATATTTTGATTGTATAATCATGCCAACTGCATTTTGGTAATTTCATTATATGCAAATAGGACACTTGAAATCAATGACAATTTTTATAAATACAAAAATAAAGCCTACCGGAAAACATATGACTCTCACCAGACATTTTCTTGCCGTTCTTCAGGTTCACAATTTTCTTTTCATTGGAATCACTTTCGACATCATTGTCATGAATCTTGTTCACTTTAGCACTACTCTTATCGCAGGTGTCACGTGCATCGCAGGTGTCGCGTGCATCATCATCTTAATTAGATTAAATGAGTAAGAGAGCAATCAGCATTATATGTACATGGTACTGCATCTTACATAATAATGATCATGTATTTTCATTTTGAATCGCACACTATAATACCATGCAAAAAGTCAATTAGAAAGCTCATCACACCATTAAAAGTAGTACTACATGCAACACATCACTATCTTCATATGTACATCACTATCTTCATCCATGCATCACCACCTTCATAAATACCCACTCCACCTTTATGTATCCCCACCATACCTTCATACATCCCCACCATCATACATTCAAACCTTCATGCATCCACAACTTGATACATCCTTAACTTTATAAATATCCACCCTTATACATACACACCTTCATCCATAAACACCTTCATCCATACACACCTTCATCCTTACACACCTTCATATGTCCACACTTTTAAACATTCCTAATTTTAAGGTTACCGAGTTATAACTGTGATTGATGGATATATGCTACTATGTGCCTAAATTCAACAGTCAAATTCAGACCACTAAGAGTGGTGACTAGTTTATAAAAGTCTGAGAAAATCCTTCTCTGTCCTCATTTAGGACAGTATAACAAAGTTTTCATTTTCAAAACTTGTGCTTTTGACTGATTACTCTGTAAACATTATGAGTTTAAAATTAAGGACTTTGTGATGGGGAAAAAGAGTCTTACTAAAATTGTGAATTTGAGGTCAATGTAAGACAGCATTATATAATGTTTAACAATGAAAAACTTTAAAAGTTCTAAAATCATTGTTTGAATTGGATTTACTTCATTACTGCGTAGATTAGGGCAGCTTCCCAACCTTTTTTCCTCTTTCATGATGTAATCACTTTTCACAGTTTCATTTATAATTTTACATACCGATACCTTCACTATTTATTTTGATATGACTGCTTTCATTTTGTCTAACATCATTATCCTTTCTGTCATAAGGTGTATTTATTAGTGACATTTCAATTGCTTTTTCTATATCTCTTTGGTGCAACTTTTCACGAACGAAAGGCCTTACAATAGAAAAAAAATCTCATGACGTTGTTGTATCACACATTGAAGAAATTAGTGTGTACATTGGATTACACAAGGCAAAACAAAGGCTTATAAAGGATTAGAGATCTACTATAATATCTGTGTAAAACAGCATGATGCCCTTTAGCAAAAATTAAAAATCTATTTTTGGGTCACACCTTCTCTCGCCTTTCTTCTCTTTGTTCATTTCCTTCTTTTTATGCTTCGCCTTCTTTGTTTGTGGTTCAAAATCAACTTCAAAATCATCTGAAACATATCATGAAGTCATAAATACAAAAACTTAGCAATTTAAAACAAGAGAAATCTATAAAACATGCAGGCATGACATTGAAAAGGAAGTAAAGTATGGATCCCCGTACATATTTATTGCATATCTACTAAATTAATAATCTCAACTTTTTTACAATAAAACAATGTAAAATGTTTAATAGTGCACTAGATCAATCATGCAGTCAGTAAATGATTGTGGGGCCTACATTCACATTTGTTGCATCAGTATTTTTTTGAACAGTGTCTATGTAGGTACATGTAAACTGATACAATATAAAATGCACCCTTCTCCTACCTATGTAAACCAGAGTGTATAACCACATACTTTACTGTAAAACAGAGCAATTATAATTTTCATTAATAGCTACGTAGCTATGAGATCACTGTACGTACAATACCTTACCATCACTTTCACAATTGGATCTCATATCAGTATAATTAACATTTTTTCTCCCTTTCCTACAAGAGATGATGGTGAAAAATAAAACATGAGTAAAGCTAAATACTTGTAGATGTAGATCTTCAAGGTTCGAGCAGTCCTGAAAATGACTGTTGGTGTTGTTAATGATTGACATTTTGACATCCTTTGATCATCAGAATCAAGTAACACGTCAACACCAAGAATTCTTTTCAGGACTGCACAAAGCTGGACGATCAACATCTAAAAAATATAACATAATAGGCAATAAAAATTATAAATTTTAATATGAAAATCATCCCTGCTTTATTAATCACTAATATTGTCAACCAACAGTAAAACATGTTTCACCCATACGCCATACCATAGTAGTGATAGTACAAATTGGAATCAAGTGACAAATTTTAGAATTCTTTCCTTTTAGATTTTCGCTTAAAGTTCATCTTTAATGCATATTTACAAAATTAAAAATTATGCTATCAGAGAAAATACTAATGAAGTAAGGATTCAAGTTTAACTTCTCGTGGTTTTAACATGATTTTCATTATGTAGTTGAATAATCTTATAAAGTTTCGCGCCTTGGCGTCATTACACTGGATCATATCATTACACTGGATCATACACTGGAAAAATGCATTTTTGTGTATTTCTTTACTTTTAAACTCATAATAGAGCTTAACAACAGTGATACATTATTAAGAAAGTATTTTTGTCTCGTTGAAACACTGCTTTAAGCTTTTAATTTATTTAAATCAAAGTTTGCTTTTGCAGAAAGACCTTGGCACCTGCAAAAGTAGGTAAGAAATATTTAAGTTTCCGTTGCTAGTAATCGTAAAGAATGTCAATCACAACAAAAATACCACCTTTACAGCTAAAAAATTCACCATACATTGTCAAGATTATTTTTAATAGAAAAATTTAATTTCCTGCGAAAGATGAACGATTGTCTAATATTATCTACAAGTACCGCTCGTATTTAAGCCCTTTTACGTACAATTTCTTTTGTCTTGTCTTTATATAACCAAGGAAAGGAATGGTGCAAGCATGACAGCACAAAAAGGAAAGGTATATTTGTAAATTTTCGTGAGATGAAAAGATTTTTTCTTTTAAAGCATGCAAAATTGTAAGCCTGGAGTAAGAAATTTTATAAATAACATAAATTCAATAAGTTCTCTTTTTGGTCTAGTCCTGTGTTTAAATTAGGCCATCGAAACACCAAAATTTAAACCCAAAATGAAATTTAGAATTTTCTGAATAACTTTTTAAGATCTATCAGAATAATTAACACCAAAAGCCATTACCACTCTTCAGGAAATATTTGGGATGCATTGAAATATCATAAAGACATGGCGTTTTCAACAAAAGATTATGATAATGACAAATATGAAGGAAGCTGCGCCACTGGCAGCCAAGGTGCTTGGTGGTATAATCATTGTTATGATAGCAACCTAAATGGCAAAGATATGTTTTGGAGAGGTCTTGGTAACATGAAAATCAGTGAAATGAAAATCAAACCATGAAGAATTTTCATAAATATTTAAGATTTCATAACAATGATCAATATCAATGACAATACGTCATGTAATATGTCTTAAACATTTACACTTGCTGTTTACTATGAGAAAATGTGCAAAAAATTGTTATAGCTAGAAGTCAAGAAAACTGTAATCATTTCATGAAATAATAAAAAATATTGTTTCAATCAATGATGTTGATGAAATATGAGTTTCTAACATGTTTATCTAAATGAAACTAATGTAATCAAATCATAGTCAAAACGACTGCGGCCTTATGAGTTTGTAATGTGACTGTTTTCGTCTTCGTGGGCATAAAATGATTTTTCACATTACTTATGCTTACACAGTTACACGTTTAAAAGCATTTTATTAGTGTTATTGTGGGCATCAGCCGTCTTGGGTGAGCCCATTGTCGATAAGTCCCTGGAGGTTGGCTGCAATCCAAGAACATAAAACCCCTAAACACAACCACAATCGCAACACCCAAATCGCATTTAATTGCTTTACAAGAGCAATATATGTGGTGCTTTAATACGATCTCAAAGAACAATCTCACGAAAGCTCGATTGACAAAGAGTTGATTGTGTTTGAACGAAGTGGACGCTGAATTCACAAGTCTCTATTTCTATGTATGCTCGCTTGAATGTTCTCTTGGAGTCGAAGTTCTCTGCTGTGAACATTAAAGTATGTCACTAGAGCTTTGGAATTTTATGATTTGTGTTTATCGTACATATCCAAATTAACATATATATTACATTTAAAGTAGTTTATGGCGGTTTTTTGTTGAAATCATTCATACTTAATAACCAAGTATTAACCATTGAAGAATTATTCAGATAGCTGCAACTTTAGATATGTTGTCAACTTGACACTGACAAAATATTAGATTGAAGGCCAAGCCTATTGTAAAAATTCAATGCATTGGAAAACAACATATCAACAGTTTTACCAGGACAAGCAGTTCTTCAATGGTGGGAGAATGTAAGTTATACTCATAATATATCTAAAGTTTGTAAATCCTATAATTATAAATGCTGCAAAATTGGCTACCGACTACTGTTCTTTACAGTCTGCAGAACCAAATGAGTTCGTGTAGCCAGAAAGCAAGCCTTTCTTGGCTTTATCGGTTTTCGGAAAAAGATTTGCCATACTATATTCAAAACATATGCATGTGCTGTCAGCCTGTCAGTGCTGATGCTTGTCCTCCAGATGCGCCTTTGCAACGAGTGCTAAGATGTTAATGACGTAGGTGCAAATGGTCTATAGAAAGAAACAGTAGTCTCACTTTACCGTGTAACTTTGTGCTGTATATTTAATTAAATTACTGGCTGCGACTGGCCATCACAGTGCTCCTATTGGTCAGAAAATGCAAATTACTGGCTGCCACTATGCTTATTACATGCGTAATAAGATATGCGCTACACAAAAATTTCTATAAAGTGGAAGTATTGTTTGTTTCTATACTGCCGTTAGATCAACGCCGACTGTTAAAATAAAGGCATCTGATCGATGAAGTTAAAGATACGTTTGTTGAGTAAATTTTACCTCAGTATGACGGGTGTCTTTAAGTCAAAAAAATGTGATGTAAATAAATAATGAATTATTATTAGTTTAGGGCATGCTCATGTGAGCCGGGCTGGCCGACTTTGCAGGGCCAGTTTATTATTTGATTCACATGACGCGGGCTAGCCCGACTAAGTACAGAAATAATTATTTACGCAGGCAGCATAAAAGTCCAAATCCCTATACTTTATGTTACTTTTATAAGCTGAAAGAAACTCAATGATGTTATGCATTAGTCTATGGTCCACCGAAAGTTGTTCTTTTGCTTGCCTTGTATTTTGCATCGCATTGAATTTTATGAGCATGCGCACTAGTATGATGTTTAATTCGGCATGCCGGTCTAGCCCGCCTTGTGCATTCACATGAACCCATTTATGCCGAGATCCTGCCTCGTTTAAGCGACATCCCGGCAAAACGGGCCAGCCCTTCGCTCATATGAATCAAATTTAAAATTATATGTAAATACTAAAAGAGATGAGATGTTGCTACTGCCGGGCAAGCTCGGTAAAGCGGGCCAGCCCGGCTCATATGAACAGGACTTATATACATACACTTGAAGTTCTAAGCACCCAGCTTATAACTTATGTTTAGATTATGTGTATAACTTACACTTTCCATAATTACAAATTGTTTATCTTTTGCAAATAAGTGGTTCGTTAGCGTTACACGAGTTAATTGTATTCAAGTAAATCTTGAATGTTATGAAGCTTGGTATGTTGGCATGGCTACTAGGGAGTTTTAGCAGGAGTGCGACTACGACTACGAGTACGAAATTTGACCGTGTAAGGGAATGGCACGAGGATGTTTGTTGTCGTTGTCGCTTCGTCAAAATTTTGCTTTAGTTGTAAACAACAGAACGAGCCTTTTTATTGTGTAAAACACCGACGTTTGCGAAGCAGCTACGGCTTTATTTGACAATAATGATATCAAAGAATCGATGATACTGGTTTTGCGAGAATATAGGACTCTTTAGACTGAAAAATCTTCACTATTTTAAGTTTTATGTACGATATATTTACACTATTTTATTGTTTGTGTACCTTTCACTTTGCGTACGAAATACATGAAAGTTTTGCAGGTCATATTTTCCTTTTTAATGTACATCTGCGCTCAAAAAGAGTTCTAAATTAAAGCCTGGATGCTCGAAAATAGTACTGTAAACTAATTTCTTACAGAATGAAGAAATATACCTACTTTCTTTGCTTAAAAAGACATCGTAGTCGCGACTACGAATTTTTTACAAAACATCGTACTCAGATTGATGACGGCTACGTGTTTTTGTTGTCGCAACAATGTTTTTGCGCCAAAATGACGTAAATCGTACTCGTAGTCGTACTCGTAGGCTCTGCTAAAACTCCCTACTATCTAACAGAGAACATGCATGTTAAAGTCTGATTGGATCTAGGTGCTCTTACATATTCAGTCAAAACAAATATATATAATCAAAGTTTTATTTCGACGAAACTTTTGTAATGGTTCAAAACTTATTATTGCAAAACAAACTTGTCCGTCGTGCACTTGTGAAAGTGGTAGCCGGTTTTTCTTACGGCAGACGTCGAATTATTTTAACGTTGCACTTTATTCAAAGAACATACTTGCGTATATACACGAGGTTTTAATACAAGCATATAATATGGGGTGTTAAATTACATGTGAGAGGAGTAGGAAATTTAGATGACGGAATTAAGTGAGAATGGCGGTATATTAAAGAAGGTGAAGGGGGATTGAGTTGCCTTGGGTGTTAAGAGAGGGTTTAAGTTTGGATATAAGAAGGCTTTCATGAATCATAAGGTCATATTTGTCGGAGGAGGAAGAGAGAATTGAGAAATCATTAAAATCGGCGGGGTGAGATGTACTTGCGTATAGCTTGATCGAATTTCTTTATAATTTATTTTGACTGTGGGCGCTGATCCAACCTTGCATCTCTCTATAATTACAGGATTTACAAAATGCGTATATTATAAGTATACTTACACCTTACCACTAATGTATATTGTGCTGTTTCATGGCTTAAGTAAGTATATCATTTTTCAATGCATTTGAATTTTTACAATAGGCAATATAGCTCTTCGATGTCATAATACCTTGTGATTTTCAAGTTAACACCATATATCTACAGTGATTCTTGGATGATTGATTGTTCAGTTGACACCAAGAGCACATTCAAATGAGCATACATGGAAATAGAGATTTCCGAGAGCTCAGGTAGCAAAAACTTTGTTCGAACTTTTCAATGCAAATTAAAGTTTTTTAAACCTACCCGTGACTTGCAAGAGTTAGACACACTCCAAAGTGTTGTATACCAACAAATCGAAAACATTAAACAAGATTCCAAAATCCCAAGAAGCGTGTTTTTAGTATACTAAGGCGGATCTAGTAAGAAGGTCATTTTCACATCATTTAAAATCAAAAACCTTTTCTCATTCAAAGACCCAATCTCTGATTCAATTAAATCTATGGTGATATATGAATTCAATTGCGCGGGATGTAATTCCCGATACATTGGCGAAACTTCGCGCCATTTATCCACCAGAATCAGGGAACATACCACAACAGACAAAAACTCTCATATCTACCGACACCTTCTTAAATCTCACTCATGTAAAACCAAATATTCACCCTCTTGCTTCAAAATCATCGACACTGCCGACACCTCATTCACCCTTAAAATCAAAGAAGCACTCCACATTAACCAAACTAACCCTGACCTCAATGTTCAAGTTCAAGTTTATAATACGCTCGGACGCTCCCAACTAATTTATCTTATTTCCTTTTTATTGTTGTAATTTATGTATCATATTACTTTTATATAAACCTTGTACACTTATTATTTCACTCATACTGAAGATGGCATCATGAGATGTCGAAACATGTCTATTTTCAAAAAACTTGTCGTTTATATTAAATGCGCATGAAGTTATTAACTGAAACATACAACATGTTGATAGAAACTTAAAGAGTTGTAATCTTCGCGTAAAAACTATCTTATCAAGGTCGATAGATGCCGGATATAATCATGCAAAGTGCAATTAGTGAACTGGAACCACAGATACCGTTGTATTATAAGGATATATAGGTCCGTTTATTTTAAATTTTGAGCTCGAAAAGTCCAAATATTCTCATTGTCCAGGCTACTGTTCAAATGATGAATTTCGAATTATCATGCAAAGTATATCGTTTCAAAAGGTTCAATGATTTTGCGCCACTCGTCATTTTTTAACAAACAGTCTTTATATATCAATGTCAACCTTGTTTTTATTGTTAGAGACGCGGACTAATGTTTATAAGTATTTTTTGTTTTTATGTTGTTCAACGGCTTCCATGCACAATCTGTCACATCCATTTGGTATTTCTTAATAGCATAAGCATTTCTTGTTACTATCCATAATTGAACATTTACGACGTTGACAACGGAGTGTCAAACAAAGAATGTTGACTTCCATATATAAAGTTGAATGAGAGCGACAGGAAACAAAGACTTTAAAATTTATTGCACCATGCCCGGTCAAAAGTCAGCTTTTAGAGTACTTTCCACAAACTACATGGATTCTTTAGAAATCAAAACATCTGTCAACGTTACTCTTATTTTTAACTTATTATTGAAGAATGGCGCGCCATGGTTCGTCATCAACTGTTGATGCTTGGTTAATGCTAATGATCAACATACTCAAATTCCTATTCTCAATTGACTGGTAACCTTCTTGATCTTCATTAGCCGACTATTCAGGCTAAAAACTGAAATGGCTTACCGCTATAAGGTTTTCAGAACGTCAGTTAACATCAACAACAACAGTCCTTCTCAGGACTCTTCTAGCTTGGACGATCTACATCCACAAACATGCAACGATACTCTCGGGTTCAAACCATTTAATTTATTACGAATGATGTTTGTTGGATTGCCTTCCATATCACTTTCAAAATTATCAAGAAAAAACGTGTTTTTTATTGTTTTTAAATGCCATGCTGTGTAACATAACCATTGAACATAACTTTAACTTTGTAAACAGCAAGCTCAAATTTTTTTGATGATATGACGTAAAAAGTAATTTCCTCTGACGTATATGGCGCTCCACGCTCCTAAGTCTCCAATCACTTCAACAAGCGCATTTAAATAGCTACGTGTTTCTTCAAAAAGAAAGTAGCTGATGTAAAATTTTCAAACTATGGCGACCTTTGCATACTAACGCAGCTTTGATAGTAATGTTGTCATAAGGTCGAGTTCTCATTTAACGGACATTCTTTCCTAGTATTGACCGAATTAAAAGAGGAAATTCCTCGTCGTTAACCAACCAAAAAAAGGAACTTCTTATTTTTATTGATCTAACTAGTATTGAATGAATCAAAAGAAGCTCTTCTTTTGTGACTTGACACAGCTAAATTACAAAATTATAAGATTGAACTCATTCTCTTCACTCAGAGGTTAATATAGAATAATAAAAATATAGAAACCTTAAGCATATTACTTCTTTGAAAGAGTTATATAGAAAATCTCAAGGGATATTCAAATACCTCGTATTTTATTAAGTTTCCTAGTTATTTCTTTACGTCAACAACATCCAGCATACGTGCTCTTTTACACACGTTTTGCTAGATCCTATTCAAATGATGAAATTAGAATCGTCAAAGGATACTGCTAAAAGCTTTTTAATTGCACCAATTTTTAATAAACAGTCTTTATATCAATGCAAGCCTTGTTTTGGATGTCGCTCCCTTATAGGGTGACGTCATGAAGAGCATTTAATTGGAAATTTTTTAAGATCTCGGTTCTTTTTTTAGCAAAAAACAACACTCAGTGTAAAGCCTTGTGCTTTGATTATAACTCTTTCTTATTTTTAAATTATTTTCTTAAAAATCTATAACATCGCAAGCAAGCTATCAATGAAGTACAACTTATTTAACAGCTTGTTACCACAATACCACAATAAGTCTTTATTCATTAATTTTATGTTAATTAGCTAGTGTTGTTGTTTTATGATAAATAAAGACCTCAGACATTTTAAATGAACGACGAGTTTTTTTAACGTAAACATGTTTCGGCATGCTTATGCCATCTTCAGTACATCGAATGAAGGTGATTAACTATTTACAGGATATATATATATGTATGTGATTATCGTTAAGTGTATTAAATTACAAAATTAGTGTTAGATATTATATTACAGGTTAAATATAGTATTGATGTGATATATTTGTTTGTTGAGGTCTGGTTTGAGTTTTTTGATGTATAGCGCTTCTTTCAGTTTAAGAGAAAAAGAGAGAGTTGGCGATTGTCTAAGATGCGAAAACATGAATGGTTGTATTTTGATTTGCAATGTGGTGAAGTGTGAAGGTGTTTAAAAAATATGTGAGTTTTGTCGGAATGTGTGTGTTCTTTGATGCGTGTGGAGAGATGGCAGTTGTCTCACCAACGTAACGGGAATTACATCCCGCACATGGTCATAAACCACGCAAGATTTTTAGTAGAGATGGAATACTGTTTTAAAACTAAAAGATTTTTTTATTTTGTAGGATGAAGACAGTGATTTTTTAAATTAACATAGAAGCGTTTTGTTAACTTCCGTAGTTTTTGTTGAAATTGGTGTGAGTATGAGCCAATGTAAGGAAGTTTGAAATAGTATGTGTTTGGTTTGTTTTGGTTAGGTTCATCTAGGTAGCATTGATACGATTGTATTTTGTCGTTGAATGTTGGATATTTTGTCTATGAAATGGACAGGAAAAATTGCGTTTTAAAGTTTCGATTAGTGTGTTTATGTGTCATTTTCGCAGCCGTTTGTTGTATTGTTGATTCTGTGGATGCGTTCAAGGAGAGTTTTATAAGTCCTGTTTTATAATTACGTGAATAAAACTAAAAAAGTTCATTAGAGTCCAGTGTAGGATTTTCTTGTGAAAGACGGAAGTTATGCATTTGTCTGAAGTTGTGTCTTTATTGATAAGTATCTAGGAAGGCAATTTATTGTCGTGTTCTTTTCTACTGTAAAGGTAATGTTTGTGTGTTGTAAGGTTTAAATAATTAAAGACAATGGGCGTCGTTTTTTCGTTGTCAAATATACAAAAATATCATCTACGTAACGTCTGTAAAAGTACGTTTGATCCGTCATAGTTATTAACCAATTCTTTTCATGATAGCCCATGAAGAGATTATGGCAAATACTAGTGCCAGTGGAGAACCCATTGCCACCCCGTCAGTCTGATCATAAAAGTGTTCGTTAAAGAGAAAGTGGGTTTGTGATGTAGCGATGTTGAACAATTGTTTTAAGTCATATCTGTTGATGTGGAAGTTGGGTTTGTTGTGTAAATAATAAGTCGAGTGCATTGTCTATTGTTTCAGTTAGTGGAATGTTAGTAAGGCTCTTGACATCAAAGGAAACGATATATTTGCTGTTGATGTCTTGGTTGTTTAGTTCGTCGACAAGGTGAAAGAGTCTTTAGTGGTGTAATCGTTGGGAACTAAAGGGCTAGTAACGAGCATAAGTATTTCGATAGTTTGTAGTTGTAGAGTTTATGGATGAGACTATTGGTCTTGAGTGGAGGTGGTGTGCTTTGTGGTCTGCATGTTTATGGGTTTAGGAGCCATAGAACCTTTGGATTGTGAGCCTGAAGGGAAAGATCTTGGAATAGATTGTTGTTGTCACGTAGAGCCCTGTTTTGAAGGTTTCCTAAAGAGGCGCTGTAGTTTAGCTTCTCGAGAGAGTGTTGGGGTCACTGTCTGGCCAATTTTGACTTAAATTACTGGGGTTTTAATACTAGATAAGGACCCTGAGGTTTGAAACAAGATGGGACTCCAAGTTTGAATTGCTGAATGAGGACCCACTCTCGAGCTGAAACTGCAGCGCTAGGAGCTCAAAAGGCAGAATGTTGACAAAGCGGCACATTCGAATCAACAGCTCAGCTCTTCAACTGAACTATGACCTCCTAACTCCATGGCCAGACCTAACAGATTACTATGCCTGGTTAACATTACCACTAAGCTCTTTCGCCCCATCATTCCAGCTCATGAACATCGGCAATATCATTTGCTTGATGTCAAACTGCCCTGGCATTCCATAAACAGTATGGTATATAAATAAAACTTTGCGCAACAACCCCATCGGCTGATATGACAAACTATTGTTCAGCATCGCCCATCTAAACCCACCCGGCAAGCTGCTATGACGAACGACTGAAATTGACAATAATTCTCCACGGCACCATTTTGCCAATCTCTTCGTGACTTATCGTAATTGATTAAACAACATGGTCAATCAGCTACTTGCGTGTAAACCTGGCCTGGTGACCACGACTTGCGACAATATTGCGCTTTCTAGTCGCTAAAGAGAAGCTTTCGAATTTCAAATGCGGCAATGAACGGTTGCACGCCGCATCCCTGAACGGAGACTTACAAAACTTTCTTCATGATTACATCACAGAATCGGCTGTGGCTGCGGCTGAACGTGAATCACACAATCGGGCTTTGAAAACGATTCGCGTTCATGATCATCGATTGTACACGCATGCATCGGTGAACTAACTCAAACAAACCAGGCATACTGACTCTTACATTGTCGCTCGCACGCCTTTCGGCAAAAGAAAACACGGAGATGGCTGGGCACGAAAACCCGACTTAAAAATCAATTTTGTTCTCGTCCTGCAAATAAAAGATCTGTTTTTAAAAACAGTATTCCATCTTCTACTAAAATCTTTGCGTGTTTATGTTTCATGTGCGAGATGTAATTCCCGTGCGTGGTGGTACAACTCATCTCACCGTACACATTCCGACAAACTCACATGGCTGCAAACGCCTTCTTTCACCACATTGCAAAATCAGCTACAACCATTCATGTTTTCATCTTAACACCACGCTCTCTTTCTAACAAACTGAAACTTCACATCAAGCACAAACCGAACCTCAACAAGCTCTCTTAACTCTTGTCATCTAACATAATACGCAATTCAATGCATACTGATGTCACGCCTCTTGCCTATCCTGTAATATTAATCACCTCGTCGTCTTACTGGTAAGCATGCCGATATGTTTACGTTAAAGCTCGTCATTTCATTTTAAAATGTCAGAAATCATCTATCGTCTTTTGAAATTATGGAAATAAGGGCCATTTATTTAAGAGAAATGCTTGTAATGCAATCTTCTAAACTACCGATTTTAAGTTTTTGAGTCAATTTTTCTAAACTTCTTCTAAGTTGAGTAAATTCGACTTTAAAATTAAAACAATGTCCAGTTTGTGGCTATGTGTACAAACTGTTCAACATATTTAAACTATTTAAATTAGTTCAATTATATGCTGAAACAAATTAGTCTGTATAAATATGCAAAGCTTCTTTATCCTCTCAATTTATTTATGCTGGACACACACATATATATAAAGAGCCTCGATCTTCATCTCAACCTGAAGTGATTACTTGTAAGACATTTGAGACGAGACAAGATGGTGAGATTTATTAATTGCATTGGTGGCAATTAGCTGCATTGTTGTTAATATTCAAGGGTAAGCTATGGTTTAGTGTAAAGTACTAAGAACTTGGAAATGTTTAATGCGCTTTGTTGAACGCCAAAAAGACTGTGTTAGAAACGCTTCTATGGCGTATTTCTTTTTAAATATTAATAACCTTTAGTACAAGTTGTCGAGTTGTAGTTAATATTCAATGCTCAGAAAGTATACAAACATGATTAACTAAGGATTTCTCAAATCAGCTCAAAGCCAAAGTTTTCTTGTTTAAATTTGTGTATGGGAGAATAAGACATATGCATTACACATTTTTAGTAAGTTGTTAGCTATGTCATGTATGTACTTGATATAAGTCTGCCTCGATTCCTTGTTTACAGTGTGAAATATTTCATCTGAAAACCTTTCCATGACTCACTTTAATGTTCTTACTTTTGCAGAGTGAGATTAACAAATGAAAAGGAAGATTATTTAAAAGATTTCTACTCAACATTCAGCCATGACATGAAACGCACCATAAAATCCGGTCAAAACAATGCAACTTTGAAAACACAAATTGCAATAATAGACGGACAAATAAAAACGCTTCAAACATATCAGGATCTTCAAACCATAACAAACATCTACAAACATTTAAGTTAACGCTAACAAAATTAATAGGACAAACACAAACTTATAAATTGGTAAAATTACAACAAAAATCAAGAAAGTTGAATTGAAAATGGTTGATCTTTCGTCACAAAATGAAAAAACTTGAAGCACAAATGGCAATATCAAACGGAGTTAAAAGTCTTGAAAACAATTGAAAACACTTTACATGGAAAATGAAGAACTTACAAATAACTCGAAAAGAGGTAAGAATGATTTTCAAATTAGAAAAGACATTAGATTCGAGTAAGGAGTAATATTTATTCAGTAATAACATTTTCTTTCATTTAATTTCTTTGTGTTAGTTAATGTTTTTATATCCATCAGAAAAAGACTGCGCACATCTTTACAGACAAGGTGTAAAACACGATGGAATATACTTAGTTGATCCTGATGGCAAAGGATACTTTGAGGTCTTCTGTGACATGACGTCATCGGGTGGTGGTTGGACTGTAATTCAAAGACATATAAAAATGGAAATACAGACTTTATCTGGGTTGGGCGGATATAAACGTGGCTTTGGTAATCTTAAATCGGAATTCTGGCTTGGATTGGACAAGATACATCGACTAACATCTGCAAAGAAAAACAAACTTCGAATTGATCTAGTAAACACATCAGGCACTAAAAAATACGCTGAATATGAAGATTTTGTCGTAAAGGATGAAAATTCTAAGTATAAATTAAGTATTGGAAAATACACAGGTAAGAAAATATTGAAGAAAATGAGTGTATGTGATAGCAAATTGCGTTGACAGATTGTACCTTAGGACCAGTTCATATGAGACGGGCCAGTTTGCTTATGCCAGGCTAGGTAGCTTTGCCGAGATCTCGCCTCGTATATTATTTACAATTTTTTGAAATTGGTTTCATATGAAAAGAGCAGGGCAGATCCAGCTTGGCGAGATGCGCTTGATGGAAGCGAGGTTCTAACAGGCTCATACTGCATCAATTGGGCCAGCCCGGCTAAGCAGGGCTGGAAGAAATGAACTGCATGCTCTTGTCTTATTTGGTTATTTAAATATGGCAAAACTTTAAAAACAACAATGTGCAATTGAAAATAAGTTTGAAAATTTCATGTTATACCACTACAATAGTCGGCGGAACTCACTGGTAGCAATCAGATTGTGAAATGTATGTGTCTAAACACAATATTTGTTGGCAGAAATTAAATACAACATTTCAGCCTGAAAGCCCGCCCTAAGGGTAAAGAAATGTATCGTCTGAAATCAACCCAAGAAAGACAATATACAATGCATTATACTTTACATTTAGACAATGTAAATGCATTCGTAAGATCGCTTTAAAGAGCAGGATATTCAGTAACTTTAAGACAAATAGTATTCCTCAGAAAGATAATAATTATCTGAATATTATCTATTAGCAAAGCTCGGCTTTAGCCCGTCTAAAACGTTACATTTTACATGTCAAACGCATTAAAAACAAAAGAAAATGCGATAAAATTAATCATCTATGTTTGTTTTGAATGCATTCGGCTCATGTAAATGCGACATTTGAAACAGGTCTAAGCACTTTAGCTTGCCTTTGCTCTTGTTTTCCTATGTGTAATCTGGAAAAACTATAACGCAAAAAAGAGCGGTTTATTTGTAATTTTTAATGATATGAAAAGATGTTTTCTTGCAAAGCATGCAAAAATGTAAGCCTGCAGCAAGAAATTTATAAAATAAGAAAAGTATAATTCGTCCTCTGTTTGGTCGATGCGTGTGCTTGAATCAGGCAATATAAAGACGGAAATTTAAATTGCTGTGCGTTAATTTTAAACATGTCTGAGTATGAAGATCATTTATTGTTACTTCATATAACAACTTCTTTTGAAGTGTTGAATCGCCATATCTAAAGACTTGGGAATGTTCTTTCGTAAAAATGCTGTGTAAATAACTCACAATGCTTTTCTTAACTCTGTTTTTATTCCTGTGTGTTTGAATCAAGCCAACCACAAAAAAAAACTGTTTAGCAAATCCTTTTAATATAATATAAATGCATCATTAAATGCATGGAATGTTGCGTATAAAGCTTATTGTGAATAATGACAGAATGATATGAACAATGTCTTGTACGTTTTTAAAATACAAATAACCAGAAAACTATAGAACCATTTCTACTTTGCAGGAACTGCTGGGGATAAATTATCCTATCACAATAACATGAAGTTTTCAACCAAAGATTCAGATAATGATAATGATGGAAGAAATTGCGCTACTTCCTTCAAAGGAGCTTGGTGGTATAATGGTTGTTATCAATCCAACCTAAATGGTAAAAATCTTGCTTATCAAGGTTTTATTAACGTGAAAACCAGTGAAATGAAAATTAAACCATGAAGAGTTTTCATAAATATTTATAATTTCATGACAATGATCAATATATCTCTCAACACGTCATGCAAATATATTTTTGTTTATAAGCAAATATGCAAAAAAAATTGTGTTAATTTCATGAAGTAATAAAAAATATTGTTTCAATCAATGAAATGGAGAAAATGTGAGTTTTTAACATGTTTATCTAAATGAAGCTGATATCGTCAAATCATACTCAAAATAACTGCATCTTTTTGAGTTTTACCATGTTGTTAGCTGCCTTTTTTAAAGAGATATTTTTTAAAATTATTATATTTTATTCTTCATGGCATGATATGGTTTCTCACATTTAATAAGACTTGCACGTTCATATAGCACGTTGTGTTTTTTCAAAATAAACAAATTATAAAACGTTGATATCTGCTTCCACATTCAAAGAATCCATTAATCCATATTTACTTCTTCCTTCCATTCATTCCATGATCTACCATTTCTCTTCTTCATTAAATGTTTCATCTTCTCTTCCTGCATCTTCCTCCTTCTTCTCTTCATCTCACAACCTTTTCTCTTATCCACTGCTTCTTCTCTTCTAAAATCTCCTACCTTACCAACCTTCTTCTCTTTCATCTCACCACCTTACTCCTCCTTCTCTTTACAAAATCTCCTGCCTTACTTAACCTTCTTCTCTTTACTAAATCTCCTGCCTTACTTAACCTTCTTCTCTTTACAAAATCTCCTGCCTTACTTAACCTCCTTCTCTTTACTAAATCTCCTGCCTTACTTAACCTCCTTCTCTTTACAAAATCTCATGCAGCCTTGCCTTCTTCTCTTCCTAAATCTCCTGCCTTTACTTAACCTTCATCTCTTTACAAAAGATCTCCTGCCTTATAACCTCCTTCTCTTTACTAAATCTCCTGCCTTCTTCTTCACTGTTTCTTCACCACTGTTTCTTCTCCTTAACCTTCTTCCTCTTCCTTCTTTCATCTCTTCCTTCTTCCCTGCCTTCTCTTTCATCCACCTTCTCTTCACTAAATCTCCACCTTACCAACCTTCTTCTCTTTCATCTCCTGCCCCTTCTTCTTTAAATCTCCTGCCACCTTCTTCTCTTTACTAAATCCTCTACCCTTCCAACATCCTTCTCTTTCTAAATCTCCTAACCTTATAACCTTCTTCTCTTTACTAAATCTCCTAGCTGCCAACCTCCTTCTCTTTAAAACCTGCCTTACTTAACCTCCTTCTCTTTCGTCCTCCTGCCTTGTAACCTTCTTCTTTACAAAGATCTCATAACTTAACCTCCTTCTCTTTCTTCAATCATACTTGTCCTTGAAATTCTCTTCACTAAGTCCTCCTACCTTTTACTTAATATTCTTCTCTTCCTTCCCCTTCCACCCTTCTTCCTTCCTTCTCTTCCCTCTTTAATCTCCTGTTCTTCTTCTAAATCTCCTGCCCTTCCTTCTCTTTCAAACCCCACCAACCTCCTTCTCTTCCTAAATCTCCTGCCTTATAACCTCCTTCTCTTTACTAAATCTCCTGCCTTACTTAACCTTCTTCTCTTTACAAAATCTCCTGCCTTACTTAACCTCCTTCTCTTTACAAAATCTCCTGCCTTACTTAACCTTCTTCTCTTTACAAAATCTCCTGCCTTACTCAACCTTCTCTCTACAAAACCTCCTGCCTTACTCAACCTTCTTCTCTTTGTTAAACTTTCTACTCCACTAAATTTTATACTTTACAAAACCTCCTTCTTTACTAAGTATCAATTTTACTATATTTCCGGTAAGTGTTACTCTGTTTGACCTTCAAATCTTACCATGTAGTTATTACCATGTAGTTTCACCTTCTTGATTGAAAACTGTTCTAATTATCTAATTTTCAAGAGATAATGACTTACCTATCTATCTTTAAGCTCAATGCAGCCAAGTTTCTTAATATCTGAAGACCTGTTAAAAAAACTAGATGTTTCCTCAAGTACTCCAAAGAAGCTGATACTAAAACGTTAGACTCGATAGCATCTAACATTGCTGATTATTATAGGCAAACCTTCATGCTACAAATTTATTTAAAAAATGATCGCTTTAAAATATATAAGAATTGGGCTTACCTCTTAATGATGGTCCATTATATTTATATAGGAGATAAAAGAATGGAATATGCCTTATTTTTCTTAGTATAACTTACAACTTAGGGCATGTTAGCTACGCATGAAAAATGAGCATGACAATTAAGGCTTCCTTTGTGCAAAAGGGAAAACGATTTTTCTTGTTGAATCAAAACATTATACAAGTGTTTCTCAAAATACATGGAAAATTCGATGCTTCTTTAAAGAACTAAAAAAACGTTCTTACTGCTATTGAAAACATCATGAAAAATAGCAAAAATATACCAAATAATGTGGAAAAGATTATTTAAAGGCATTTGACTTCACTGCAGCCTTTAAAGTAAAAAATATTGGAACAAATTTTTTTCTTTGACAATAAGCCAGATAGGGTACAGATACGACTGCTTAGACCATCTATGGCTAATGGAAAGTAGCTCCAGTCAACAAAAAAGTTACATTAATTATATAAAATTCATAAAGTAATCTTTAATGTATAAAAGATGCTGTTTTTTTCTCATTTTGTGTAAAAATATTACGTTAGTCACTAATCATAAAACTTTATTGATACTACTCTCATTCAGTTGTGCTATTTCAATCCTTTTGTTTAGAAATAAGACTACAGTGTTTCTGAAATTATATATTTAACCATTAAAAGATTTAATTAATAACTGCAGAGGGATGTATAACAAATGCAAATCCCTTTTCTCGCCTATCTCTTAAAGATGTTAGATAATTTAAACTAGGCTCGTAAATTAGAGTAGAATATGATTAACGGAACAATATGATCAAAATAATTTGTAGATATTAAAAGACTAACTTCATCAATTACTTTGAGCAGAATAGCAATGTTCAGAAAAGCAGTTTTTGTTCAAAACTCTTTTATTTGAAATGTTGAGTCTATAGTAAAATTTTCTACTAGCAATTGTTGATGTATAACTGCCACTTGTTAATTAATATTTTTTGACAATATCTTTTCCATTCTTGCCCTGACTTGCTGTCTGCATGTCTGTGAAAAACTGCACAACAGTTTTATTTGGAAATACTTACATTATAGGTTGTTTTCATGTGACTTCATGGCCGCCATGTTGGTTGTCAAACACAAAAGAATATTACATTCATGCAATTGTGGTCACTAGCCATTGTGGGCGAGCTACATTGTTCGACAATTCCCTAGAGGTTGGTTTAACCCGAAAATTTTTAACTATATAGTCTATACAAATAGCAAGGTTGCCATAGCGATGGTTTTTGGTATTCAACTTTATTAAAAATTCATATATTTTGCTCGGTAATTTCATGGTAGCTTTGCTTCCATGCACATCGATTTACTTCAAGCTAACTGAGTTTTCCTCTATCGTATAGTCGTCCAGATTTGACAGTGAAATCAAAGGCTAACAGAGAAAGATACTGATTGAAATGTGAGGCAATCTAAACTCTTCACCGTATGATGAGGAAGATAAACTCTAGAGTTTAAAGTTGCTTGAGTATCATTTTCTGTATGTACGACGTTTCGAATACGTAGCTGTTTCTATGAGGTAAAAAATTGGCTTTTTGTAGTGATCAGGAGGGCAGAAGTCTGCATGACATTGAGTCAGTAGTCATGAGGCTGAATGTAGCTAACGAGCAGTTTGACAAGATTGTGGAGCTTGTGAAATTTTTTGTCCTGGAACTCGGGAATATGATCATACATCTAACGTGAGTGATAAATGAGTGTTTACTAATTACAGGTTTTATGCATGATCTTTAAAAAAAACAATCATTATGATTTTACGTACGTGATGTATCCAAATACTTCCCATCAATTGCAAGCGTAAAGAGCTGTTTCTAAATAATTATAGCCAGCGAATTCTTGAAGTTATGCTAAATACATCTTGCAAACTACTGAAAGGAAACCAACTCAATCAGTAAATTTGCTTTGGCGAGCCATTTAAGAACATGTCTATTTGGGAATATGTCCATTTGCTCATAACTAAAATATAAAGCATGTCTTGGAGCCTAACTCACTCATTAAGTCGTGGTATAATTGATAATCTTGTCTGGCTTGAATAAGTAAGATATAAAGCATGTGTTGAAGCCTAACTCACTCATTAAATCGTGATATGCAAGATAATCTTGTCTGGCTTGAATACGTAAGCCCTCCTATCCCAATATGTAATTAAAGCTTCAACTAAATATGTAAATTTTCATCGTGAATTTACACATTACATGTTTGTAGAAGGACCATGCACTCCCATGTTTTTATGTTTGCTATTTCTGGCTGAATTCCCAACTTCTGTAAGCACACCTAAGAATGCTACTTTGCTTTTTTGAATTTGATACCATTGTCAGAACCAATGTTTAATCAGGTACGTTGGAAACTTCAAAATGAAATGTTGCTGACAACCACACGTCTGCACCTATCAAAACAAAACAAAAGATTCTACAATGCTGTTTACTCTGTTTCAGTTTTTTTATAAGTAAAAATGAAAGACTAAATTGTTATTTTTATTATTAAAACCTTTTTCTGCAGTTGTTTAGTTAAGTAGGATCTAGATAGATTTTGCATAAATGCTATACCCCATTAAGTCACTTAAGTGATATCTACTCTTTCCTTGCGCAATTTCCAAGATTTTTCAAGTTTTGGAATCCTTTTTTTGAATTTGGGTTTTATCCTCGTTTGGTGTCGATTCTACTTCCTCTCTTCAGCTTCTCCTTCTTTTTATTTATGTCAAAGCTAAAACAAATCCACTTGACCTTATGAGCAGTATATTTAGCTTATTTAAACTATATTACAGCATTTAGTTTTTGTTCAGTTTGAAGACCATGAAATAGATTTAAAAGAACTTCGAGAATTTCTGTTTCGACAATGCAAAACTTCCATGAAATTAGTATCATCACAATACTACATAATGATCATTAATTTGTCGAAAATGAAATCAATACGAAACAGTGGTCAGTGGTCATATTAAACTTCAGATCTTAAGCTTTCTTTATTATTTTATTCAAATTATTGATCAATTGAAGGCTGCTTAAAAGCACTGTTTATGGCAAAGGAATAAAGAATTATACTTCTTAATAATTGAGAAAGGAATTATATGCTTCTGAAGTTTGCAATACTTGACTTCAGTCTATGGGGGCTCCTTTATTGTTTCATTATCTCTGCTGTTTTGTTCAAAACTTGTTTAAAATATTATGCCTATATTTTTGAAAAACACTCTTATTATACCTTTTCCAAAAAAATAATACACCCCAAATTTTTAACTTAGACCTGTATGTAAACAAGCTCAAACCGACATCTTTGCAGCAGCAAAAATATTTAAGCCATGGTAGAATGATAAAGCAATCACACATCTATTATTTTGGATCTTGATAATTGATCATACAAGGTCATGAAACTATAAGAAAAAGTAATTTAGTTGCTTTGAAAATGCGCTTGCCTTTCTTAGTGATATATTGCTTCAGCTGTTGTTTGTTCTGTGCACTTTCACCTACGTCTTACTTTGAAATTGACGTTTTTTTTAAAAGAACTTATCATTAAACTTGTGTATTAAAATAACATTTATAATAAAAATAGCACTTTCTTGTACCCCAAAAGCTTTAATTTGCATTCACTTGACAATAAAAATACTTTTCGGGCATTATTGCAAATATTATGGCTGTAGATATCGTAATTAAAAACCCATTATGGCAGGACTTTAGCGAAAATTGATTTTAGCTCACAAAACAAAACAGGACGTCTTTAACAGTTACTTTATTTATAAATGATTTTGCAAAGTTTTTACGTTTTTAATTAATACAGACCTGGTGGTTTTAGCAATCAATTATTAACCACGATATGTGAAATGAAGACATATTTGAGTACTTAATGATTAATAACTTAGTAGTTTTAACTTAATAAGTTGTCTATCACATAGGATATAATTTGTGTGAACAATGTTTTAAGATAATGTTCACCAATACATCAATTTATCAATTATCATGAAGAAAGAAGTATTTCTATAAGCTTAAGCCTCCTGGATTTAAAGAAAAATCAGCTCTTATGGCCTTACAGCTAGATTGCCTAAAATATCCCAAAGTGCTTTATTATGTAATCTAAGAATAGTTTACATGCAGCTGTGCATGTACAAAATATAATTTATTCTTCATGATGGTGGCTGTACAAATGTTCTCAATTTTCCTGTTTGTTGTTTTTCGTTATTATGAAAATGACAACCTTGCCATTTTGATTTCTTACTAAAGTAGCACACTAGTGTACATTTTAATCTCAAAGAAACAATTGTACATGTCATATTTAACGCTTGACTGATATTCTAGCAATGCAGTAACAGAAACATTGTGGTTAGAATGACTATAAACAAGGCTATGGTAATCTTAGTTCTGAATTCTTGCTTGGATTGTATGAAATACGCTAACATCAGCAAGGTAAAATAAACTTTGCGGTGACCTGGGAGACTGGTCAGAAAACAAAAAACATGTTGAACATAATAACTGTTACATGTTTGTAAATGTAGATCGTCCAGGTTGGCATAGTCCTGAGAAGGACTGCTTTTCTTGTTGTTGACTGACGTTTCGACAAACTTAGCGGTAGACATCTTCAGAGTTCAATGAGGAGTAAACGTCAGGTTAGCCGTATTTTTTAGCTGGTTCTTACCTCATTCTATTGTGTGTACAGGAAAAGTGTGGTTGTCAATTGTGTATTGTCATTTTGAATTAATGTGAAGTGTAATGTTTTTAGTTGATCGTTTGTTTGTATTGTAAATAAGTCGTTTGTAAGGTGCCGGTAATTGCTGTTATCTGTTTAGGGGGGTTTGTTCAAAGCTGGTATACCAAATTTCTAATGTAAGCCGTTGTCTATAGTCAGTACTGTAAGTAAGGCATTTTGCCGAGTCCCAGTCAATGTTGTGCTTTGTGATTCGGTGATGTTCGGCAATGTGATTAGTTCTGTCTCGTTTCTTTGTACCTCGTTTGTGTTCAGTAAGTCTTATGTTTAAGTTCCTGCCAGTTTCCCCGTTTCACAAGTTCGAGACTGGACTAATGTTAAGGACTGTGAGTGAAAACAATATAGCAAATGATTTTAAAATGATTGGATGTCATTGTTTAATTCACGCTTTGTCATTTTGTCTCAATTTAAATTAATTTCGTTATTATAGCTAATGGACAAGAAAATGAACGAAGGAAGATGACAGGTGTCTTTAAACATTTCGAATAATAAAAATAGCAAAAAATGTATGCAACACAACTGCAATTTCACGAAAAGAAAAATGTGATTGCTCTTTTTTAATGTTTTTCGTGAAATGATAAACCTAATCATTAAAAAATTATAATTCTTTATGTTGAAGGATTTTCCCCAGCTATAGGAGTTTCTTTGTTGTTCTTTCATAATCGCTGTGAAGTATAAAAACCTTTTTATCACCTTATGAATTAGCTATAT